GGTGATATAAAATGAGATGAAGGCCAGAGGTAGAGCCTTGGGTGCACTCACCCTTGGTGCAGGCACAGGAAGAGGAGTCCGCGAAGGTGACCAAGACACAGAGCCAGAGAGGCAGGAAGAGTGACCAGCGTCAAGTGCTACAAAGAGAGAAAACTTCAGATAAGCAGTAAGGGTGATTGTGATGACCTTACTGTAAGTCAGTGCCACTCACTCTCCTTCAGTAGAAGCACATTTTGGCAGGATGAGCACTGCACCTAAGGTGAGGAAGTGGCCTCAGTGGATGTCGTCGCTCTTAAGGAATTTTGCAGGATGGAGGAGAAGAGCAACCGGCAGGTGGGGACAGGGGAAGAAACACGAAGGAATCCCTTTCGCCTTGTTTCATAATTTTTTTCTGTGAAGTCAGAGGCAAGATCACATGTCAGGAGTAAGGGAGGTGATGAGGATTGGGTAGGAGAATGGTGGAGGTGTGGGTCAGTAGCCGAGAAGATGGGTTGACTTGTACCAAAGTCAAGCGGAGACAGCAGTGTTTCATTGGAAGTAATGAGACTGGATACCATTAATTTGTAGTTGGGTTGCCCTGCGTGGTTATGTGATCTCGTCTTGCTCAGGAACCTCAGATAGCAGAGAAGTTGAATGGGAGAGCCATCCATATCGGGCCAGTGAACTAGATGGATAGCAGAACTAGGCTTTTACAGGAAAAATAAGTGATTGGTCTTTGGGTTCATACTCAATTAGGCAAGAAGGGACAAAGTAGCATCTATCCATTTTTCTTCATCGCCACTGCTGTCATCCTAGTTCAGCTCACCATCACGTCTTTGCAATAATTTCCCAACCAGTTTCCTTAAATCCGTGTGTTCCTTCCACATTCTTCTTCTCACTACAACCAGGGAGATCTTTTGATATTTCAAATCTGATCATGCCCGGTCCCTACTTCCAACCCTTCAATGGCTTCTCGTTACTTTTAGGATGAAATCTCAATCTTTAACAGGGTCCACTAGGCCTCTCCTAATTCTCATTTTGTACCATTCTCACCTCTGTGTTTCTTCCTACCACAGAACGTTGAGCCAGGTTTCCTCTGCTTGGGGTTTTCTTTCTTTCCCAGCTTGTCTCCAATTTCTACTCATTCTTTGGTCCTTAGATGTAATAGCACTTCCTTGGGAAAGCTTTTTCTGACTCCCTGTAAGAGATAATACCCATTTCCTGGGCATTTCTTTATTATAATCTTCTATGAAATTTTGTGGGTTTTTTTTTTTCCCCTCCAGACTAGAATCTTTGTGAGGATAAAGATTGTATCTATCTAGTTCATTGTTGTGTCTCTAATCTTGACCATAGCGTACCTAACACATAGTAGACACTCCATGATTTTTGTTGAATTAGTGAATAAGGTGAATAAGGAATTGGATGTCTTAGTCTGAGGTGAGGATATCTTGAATTAAGAGAGCAGGTTTAGTAGTGGAGAGGGAAGGCTGGAAGCAAGATGAGGTTGTAGCCAAAGTAAGGTGTTGGAAGTTGAAAGTACAGAGGTGCAGTAATTTTAGGAGATGGCAGGGTCCAGGACTGGGGCGTTGGAGTGGAGATGGAGGTCTTTGCATTTGATGAGATTATGAAACTCTCTGGCAGAAACGTTGGATGGATTGTGCAGGTGGGTGTCAAAATTGCTGAGGAAAACAGTAGGATTTAAAGTGAGAGCAATATAAGGCAGGAGTCTAGGTCTTTAATAAGTATGAGCGAGAGGCTCAGCCCTTTCTTAGAATTCAGTGGGTAAGAATCAGGGTCATTTGGGGTTCAGTAATGCCACAGTGCCTTGGGAGGCAGTGTGGTGCAGTAGAGAGAGCGTGTGTCCAAAATATCTGGGTTGAGACTTTGGGCAACCACCTGACTTTTTAAGCCTTATATTTGTTTATTTATAAACAACCCATTTTTCTGTGAAGAAATGCTTTCTCTAATCCTTTTCTATGAAAATGCCATCATTCTTGGGAATAGATTTTATTGTTCCAGAGAAGAGAACAAAGGCCATTATGTGAAAGTTACAGAGGGAGGTGGGCTGGTGATTTAGTTTAGAAAAGCGTTTTCTCACAATTAGAGTTGTCCAACAATAAGATGGACATGTGGCAAAGGAATGAGTTCTCCATCAAAGCTTGTATCGATGTGGAGGCGGGCTGATTTCTCTGTCAGAGGATGTGATAGAAGGGTTCCTGCATGGGGGCAGACACTGGATTACGTAATCACTAGTCTTGTCCACTTGGAGGATTGGCGGGTTTTGACCCCAGTTGAGATTTGTCTATACATGATTCAATCAACAGATGTTTGAGTGCCTCCTCTGCTTTGCGTGAAAGTTTGGAAGCCAGTGTTTTCTTTTTTTCGTTCCTGTGTGCTGAGACAGAGCCCAGGACTGTGTGTCTTAGTCTGTGTTGTGGATGTTTCCCATTTGGAATTTGAGAAGCGCAAGCCCGGTGTTGCTGGTGATGTAACAAAAGCTACTGTCCTCACCTGGTGGGTGGGGTTAGGGTGGAGTCTGTGGCCGCACCTGGAGGCATCAAGTACAGCAATGTGCTGCCAAGAAGTTTGGTTTAGTGAGTTGAATTTTTTAGCAAGTAATTCTAGATAACCGTTGGATCTCTACATTACTTTCCAAAACTAATTTTTGAAAAGAATGACCTACTATGTTGGCAAATGAGATCTGTAATGCCATGGAATGGCATTGATGGTTTCTTAGTCACAGGAGCCTGTGTCTGGTTGGGTGGGAAATTGCCTACACGTGTGTGGCTTAATCAACTCTTGTCTCTTATTGCTGACTGCCGTTTGTGTGTTTATTGTACATCTCCCACATTCTTTCAGAAAGTTATTAGAGTGGCTTTCCTAAGTTCCTTTGCATACTTTTTTTTTTAAGAGAGAAAATTGAAATTCATTTTGCTGCTCTGCTCTTGGTTTAGCATTAGTCATGCTTTTAAGTTATTTGGGCTGCACCCATCTCCTGTGACCTCTGAGACAAGGACTAAAATGGTCTTGGAGAAGAAATTCTTCTCTGTATCAGGGGAGGGGGAAGCCACCATTCATTTATGAATTCTGAAGGGATTTAACTCTTAAGTATAAATTGTAAGAAACTAATTATAACTTAACAGTTTGAATTTGAGGTATGTTGGGCCAAAAGTTCCTTATGCATTGCCAGCCTTTTCTTACAATTGTGATACTGAAGTGGAAGGAAATTAGACATTGATAATATGTAGACCGAAAGAGAATGTCCAGGATCATGTCAGGCTGTAGTGAACTGAAGTTCATTTTTTTTTAACCCTGGAAAGGATCTTAGAGGTCATCAAATGCAAGTCTAGGATATACAAGAAGCAACTGAAACCCTGTAAGTAATTTGACCAAAGCCACCCAGCTAACATACACAGGTGTAGGTCAAAATCATACGATCCGAGGGTGGTGGAAGTAGTAACAGAAAGGAGAGTTTCTGAAACTTGGGAAGATGGATTAGGACCATCTAGAAATAGAGGGATTATATGAAGCATGAAGGACCCTGGAATTTCTTATCTGCTAACTTAAGCCAAAAATTGATTGGTTTGGTGGTGGCTGGTGTGGAGGTTCACTGAGTCATTTAATCATTTACTCATCAGGCATTTACTGACTGCTTACAATATTGTAGGTGCTGTGCTAAGTGTTGGGGCTACAAATATGAATAAAACACGCCCCTGCACTCATGGATCTCTTGTACTACTGGAATTGTACAAGAGAGAATACTTTGTATTTTGCCCTCTCTCAAAAAATTCAGTGTCACCAAGTTAGTGACCTACTGGCTTTATGACCCACAAATCATCGCTGTTTATTTGCCTTAATATTTCTAAGGAATGCAGAAAATCAGGATCTGATCATACCACTGAACAAGCTGTGTCCTGGGGTAAGGGGCATTTGAAGAAAAAGTATCTGAGTCACCCTTAGACTTCAGGTTGTTTAGGAGAAGATGTTTCTGAAGAGAGTCACCCGAGTCACGTTTTACCTTTGAGAATTCTACTTTTGGCCTTCCCCAAAAAAGCAAGAGATTGGTGGGTGTGGTAGGACAGGTATGTTATGGTTACTGTAGGAACAAGCCGTCTTCTCCAGAGAACTAAACCTGTCTACTGTGGCCAAATTTGGTTAGAGATTGTTCTTCACTTTGTTATTGCTTCCGCAGCTGGGACTGCCAACTTCAGAGGAATGTGGATTGGTGCCAGGCTATCAGGTCAGGGACAGAATTTCTGCCAAAGTCAAGTCTGAAAGAGGAGATCTTTTTCAGGTGAACTTATTTGGTTCATTTGTCCTGGGTGGAGAAAGGCATGTTTCCTGGGTTCATGAAGTCAATGGACAAAAATGAACTCTGTGTACCTTTGGGATCTCTACTCTGCTTTGTGTAATAGCTTATTGTTTCATTTTGAGTAGTTTTAGCTGTCAGTTTGCTCCTTCCGTGTGCACAGCCAGGCTCAGAACACTAGTCAGCTCTAAAGTTATTCAGTGTATAGTATTCATTCAGCAAATATTTACTGAGGGCCTGTATGCCAGGCACCATGCCAAGTGATACATGATGAGGATACATTAGTGAACAAGACACACAAGCACTCAGCTTTTAAGAAACTTAAATATTAGAGGAGGAGACTAGACAGCAATGAATTAAAATAATTTCAGGGTATAGCAAATGCCAGGAAGGAAATAAACAAGGTGGGGAGTTCTTCGGGGTGGGTAGTCTGCTGTTTCCTTCTATTAGTTTGGGTAAGCAAACTGATGGAGGGAAATGGAATACTCTAGAAAGAAGAAAAGCATTGAGAGTGACATTAAGTTTTGTGATTAATTTAGTAGTTAAGAAATTAATGGGGAATTAGGAAAGTAAATGTTGCTCTTCATAATAAATTCAACTGAAATGAATGAGGCAGGATAGTTTCCCCATTTGGTTAGGAAGCTGCGGAAATTGGGCTGTGATCATCCTGTCTCAGTGTAATTTGAGCCTTATGTGTTTATTTCCTCCTCAGGTGGAGGGCTGAGTTTTGATCTATGTCCACCCTATCTCAGCTGCTTGAAAGTACTTAATGATCACATGACCCTGGACATGGATGCTGTCCTGTCGGATTTTGTCCGTTCCACAGGCGCAGAGCCTGGGCTGGCCCGAGATCTCCTGGAAGGTAAGGAGTCATGAGGGGAGCATGAGAAGAAAGTAAAAGACTATAGTGGGGGCGCCTGGGTGGTTCAGTCAGTTAAGCGTCCAACTTTGGCTCAGGTCATGATCTCGAGGTTTGTGAGTTCGAGCCCTGAGTCTCTGTGCTGACAGCTCGGAGCCTGGAGCCTGCCCTCCCCTGCTCACACACTCTCTCTCTCTCTTTCAAAAATAAACATAAAAAAATAAAACATAAATGAATAAAAGGCTATTGTTAGGATGACTTGGAACAGTTTAAAGTGATCCGAAAGGTACTTTGTATATGGCAGGCCTTAAATTTAAGTTGCTTCTGATGACTTTGTGTATGACTCACCATAATTTTAAAATGCAAAATCCCCTTTTTACCTTGAATTTTGGGGGTGGCTTTCTCCACTGTCAATTTGTGCTATGGTAATGCAAGTGAAATTTTATATTAGTCCACTAAGAGCGTAATTCTAGATCTGTAAGGTTTCCTCTTTATAAAAATGACTTTTGGGTTTTTGTATTTGGAATCATCCGTGGTTTTGTTTCTTTTCTTCCCTAATTTGTATAGATGGTTCTTTGTAGAGCGAATTAAGTTAATGTTTTCATTTTGCTGCCTTCGTTTACTTATATCTGTATATACCCATAAATGTGAACATTCTAGACTTTAAGATCCTCAAGGCTTGGAATCATGTCAGTAGGATCCTTTGCTTAGAGTCATAATTAACAGATGTTTTTTGACGATGGAAGTATATAATGATACAAATGGGTAAGCCTGTGGAGGAAGGGGCAGGTTAGGTTGTTAGCCTTAGCAAGGTGTGACAATTTGACATTTGCTTCTACCTGTTAATTAGGAGATGGAAGGTCTGGGTTTAAACTCCAGTATGCTAATTCAGGATGACTCTGCCCTTGACTGGCATTTTCAGTTTTATCTCCTGCCACCTTCTTATGTTTCAGCCTGGCCCCACTTGTCACCTTTCCCTGGTCACATTGTTTTTGAAGTCTGCAGTGTCTCTTCCTCCTTTGTTCTCCCCAAATTCTCCTCATCCTCCAGGATTCAGCTCAAAGGCTTCCTCTTCCTTTTGTAACATGTGTTGAATGCTGTACGCATTCAATATGTGTGAGGTACTTGAGATAAGATTATTTTATTCTTAAAGTCACTCTGCATTATAGGTTTTATTATCCCACTTTACAGTTTTAAAAACTGAGGTTCAGAGAAGTTAAGGAGGATCTGAACTCAGACAATATGGTTTCAGAGGCTGGCTCTTCACAATTATGTTACAATTAATATTGATGTAACCCCCCCCCCCCCGCACTCTCGCTTACTCGCGTGTGCACACACACGCGCGCACACACACACTTCTGTGTTATGAAGGAAAAGTTGAGGGGGTAGTATGGAAGTATAAGAGAGAAACCTAATTTAGATGTAGGATACAGAAAGGCCTTTCTGAGAAAGTGACATTTGAACTGAACCCGGAAGAGCGTGTGAGGGTAGCAAGACAAAGGGATGGACAAGAGAGTGTCGATACAGAAGCTTACGCAAGGACCCCAAGGTGAAAGAGAGTTTGGCACGAGGTAGGAGGAGTGGAGCAAGAGTGGTAGGAAATGAGTAGAGAGGCAGGAAGCAGAATACGGGGGCCTTTGTAGACTGTGGTAAGAAGTTTCCATTTCATTCTGTGTTCAGTGGGAAGCTGGTGAAGCGTTGTAGTCAGGGGAGTGACATGATTGGATTTGAGCTTTGGGTGAAGGCTATAGAATGGATCGGAAGATGGCCAGAGAAGTGGTCGACCCAGTTAAGTCTGTTGCCACAGTTGAGGTGGGAGATGATAGTGGTGCTGTGGTGGCAGTAGAGAGAGAAGTGGATGGATTTAAGATAGGATTTCGAAGGGAAATCAAAGGGCCTGATCTTCATTTTTCCCCCTGCCTTTGTCTTTCTCTCTTGCTTTTTCTTTAAAAGCTAGCTTTGGTTGTAGTGTAAGGAAAAGATTTGAGAGGGGAGATATTAGCAGAAGAGAGACTAGCTGAGCCCCTCCCAAAGACCAGGGGATGATCGTGAGATGTGCATGGGACAGTGACAATAGAGATGGGCAAGAAAGAACAGATTTTGAGAGATGTGTCATGAGCGCAAACATTGACTAGGTAGTGAGGGAAGAGGAGTCGGGTTTGAGTAGTGAGGAGCTGAAGACGAGGCCAGTTTCTGGCCTGGAGGGCTTGTGATGCCATTACGGATTTGGGGAATATAGAAGAAGGAGACAAGCAAGTCTTAGGAAGGAGGATGATGAAGGGGGGCGCCTTCGGTTGGTGGCTCAGTCAGTTGAGCATCTCACTTTGGCTCAGGTCACGATCTCGCGGTTGATGAGTTCGAGCCCTGCCTCGGGCTCTGGGCTGACAGCTCAGAGCCTGGAGCTTGCTTAGGATTCTGTATCTCCTTCTCTCTCTGCCCCTCCCCTGCTCATGCTCTGTCTCAAAAATAAATAAATGCTTAAAAAATAAATTAAAAAAAAAAAAAGGAGGAGGAGGATGGACATTCAGTTTTGGACAAGCTGATTGTTAGGAGGATCTGATTTTAAGGAGTCTACCACAGAGTTGGAAATGCAGAGTCAGTGTTCAGTACGGTGTTCTGTATTTCCAACTGTGTGGTAAACCTTCATTCATTCGTTTGTTGAGTCAGGAAAAAAGTCCTCATTCTTCAACAAATATATATTGAATACCTACAATGTGCCAGGTTCTAGGTGCTTGAATAAAACAAAACTGGCCTTATATTATAGCAGGAAACACAGTCAATAAATAATAAACATGATAACCAAGTCATTGGAAAGTATGTTATAAGGTATGAAATGCTATGGAAAATGATAAGGGAAATGGTGAGATAGGTTGTGATTTTTACTTGGGTAGTCAAGGCAGGCCTAATTAAGAATGTGACATTTGAACAAATACCAGAAGGAGATGAGGAGTTGTCTATGTAGAAAAAATTGAGGAAAGAGCCTTCTAGGCAGTGGGGATAGTTGGTGGAAAGTCTAAAGGTGGGAGCAGTCTTAGCTGTTTGTAGGAACGGCACAGAGGCCAGTATGACTGACGCAGTGTGAGCAAAGGGAGTTGGAAGAAATAGTGAATGTAATGGTTCAGAAGTAAATTCATTAGGCATTAATGATTCATGCAGCTTAACTGGAGAATTATAATATCAAGACATCACAGCAACAGCAATAAATACATATATAAAGCTTTCTGTGTACCAGGGCTTTTAATTCATTTATCTTCATAACAGCCCTGCATGGAATCATCTCCATTTTCATAGTCAGGGAAATTGAAGCACAGAGAAAAACCTGGAAAAGTAGGCCAGGTCATAGAGGTGCCTGGGTGGCTCAGTCGGCTGAGCGTCCGACTTTGGCTCAGGTCATGATCTCAATGGTTTGGGGGTTCGAGCCCCACGTTGGGCTCTGTGCTGACAGCTCAGAGCCTGGAGCCTGCTTCGGATTCTTTGTCTCCTTCTCTCTCTGCCCCTCCCCCGCTCACACTGTGTCTCATCTCACTCTGTCTCCCAAAAATAAATAAATGTTAAAAAAAAAAAAAAAAAAGTAGGCCAGGTCATAGAAAGCCTTGAATGTCCGACACAGGAGTCTAGAATTTATTCTGTAGGCAGTGGCAAGAAATTCGCGATTTTGATTGTGGAACTGAAATGATCAGAATTGTGCTTTAAGACGCCTGGGTGGCTCAGTCGTTAAGCATCTGACTTTGGCTCAGGTCATGATCTCATGGTTCGTGAGTTCAAATCCCACATTGGATGAGCTCGTGCCCCACATCGGGTGAGCTCGAGCCCCGCTTCAGGTGAACATGAGCCCACTTTGGGTAAAAAAAACCCACGAGCCCCCACTTCAGGTGTGCCCTGGTTCATTCTCTCTCTCTCTCTCTCTCTCTCACTCTCCCCCCCCCACCCCACACCCACCCTTTGCTCACTTGTGCCCTCTCTCTCAACAACAAAAAAAGAACTGTGCTTTAAAAAGATTAATCTCATGTGATACTTTAGAGTGGATTGATGGGACACTGGGTGATAGGAATTGAATTAAGTGGGTAGCAGATGGAATAGAAGAGAAAAAAGTGTGAACGATTATGTCTTAATGTGATTTATTGAGTAATACAACTGGAGAAAGCAGCAGAAAAATCTATTATGACAAATCTACCATTTAGGGTCTTTTCTTCAGTAGAGTAGTGATTCTTAAATTTAGGGGCAGTTAACAATTCCTTTTGGTAAGCTGATGACAGCTGTCAGCTCCTTCTATAGAAGAATGCACATACACAGTTTCAGATGGTCTAGGACGTCCTAGAGCATGTCTAGGCTAAGAACTCTCTGGATCTCAGAACTAAGAGACCTGGGCTTTTGTCGTACTTGTCCCTGGTGCAAACTAGCTTGTTCTTTCTTTAGGCTTCCTCTGTGTTAGCTGTCAAACAAGGTCACTAGGTCTGCGTGGGCCCTTTCAGTCCAGAGACAAAGTGTCAGTGCTCACAGAGCTGACTTAGCAAATAGACAACAAGTAAATAAATAAATTGTGATACCGCACAGTGAAGTGTTAATGAAGAAAATTAAAGCAGGGTAAGGATTGGGAGAATGATGGACACGCTCATGAGCACATGCTTGCTAGTTTTGAGAAGGTGGTTTGAGTGATCGTTCTAGGTCTTTCCTCAATCTCCCTGTACTCTGAGCACCCAGTTCCCTTTTTGCTTTGTCTCCTGCCAGGAAAGAATTGGGACGTGAGTGCCGCCCTCAGTGATTTTGAACAGCTACGTCAAGTTCGTGCTGGGAACCTGCCGCCACCCTTTAGTGAAGGGAGTGGTGGCTCCAGGACCCCTGAAAAAGGGTTTTCTGATAGAGAGTCTGCCCGCCCTCCCCGGCCCACCCTACAGCGGCAGGATGACATCGTTCAAGGTACTGGGGTAACTGAGGGGGTGTTTCTGTAGATGGAATAGAAAGGAAGAGAGGGGACTGCTGAATGGAGTCATCCTTTGGAAATGACCCTATTCCTCCCCTGCCAAACTGAGGTGGCCTCAGTGTGTCTCGGTGCATTATGGGGATTACGCTGTATGAAGGTACCGCACTGTCTCACTGCATCTTGAATATTACTCTGTAGTAAGGCCCTTTGCAGATACTGGGAGAGAACTAGAGGAAGGAGAACAATCTAGTTGTTGTGATAAGGTACATAAAGGTAAAATTCAAAGGATTATGGCCATTTACCTCTTTGGTTAATATTTGTCAGTGTCTATCAAAATTTAAAAATGCATGCGTACTCTGACTCAATTTGATTTCTAGAAATTTATCATATATGTGTATGTGCATGTGGGCCTATATATATGTCCTTTAAATAAATATATACATGCATACATAAATAGACACATACACATATGTAGCATAAAGCTTGGAAATGAAAGCTTGAAAAAAAAAGGACAAGTTAAAGCTTGAAAACAGCCTTTAATGTCCATTAAATAAATTAAAATCTTCTATGTTGTGGAGTACTCGGCAGCCATTGGAAAGAATTAAGTAGAACTTGATGTGCTGTTTTTGAAGCATCTCTAAAATCTGCTGAGAGAGGTAAGATGTAGTAGAGTTATATGGTGTGTTCTTGTTGGTGTTTTTTAAAATGATTTTAAAAGCTGTATGTGCTTCTGTGTGCATAAAAAAATTCTAAAAGGATCCAAAAGTTTGCTTCGGGGGAAGGGATCAGAAATTTTGAATATGAGGGAGATTTCTTTGTAATACTTTGCACCTATTGATGGTATTTTGATTTTTTACCATGGGCTTATGGTACTTTTTATTTTTTTTATTTTATTTATTTTTATTTTTATTTTTATTTTTTGGTACTTTTTAAATACTTGAAAAAAATGGTTTAAAAAAGAACATCACTATGAAATAACTTTAGACAACTCTTGATTGACTTTGTGTGTCATCTCTGGCAAGTATTGTATTAAGAACTACTTCCCAACATAATTTTTAGCGATTTTAATAATCTTGATATAACTCAAGCCATGCAAAGGAATTGTAACATGACACTGAGCAGATTGTGATCACAGGATATCTGCTGGGGAATTGTAAGTGCCATGTAATTGAAACAAATGAAATGATTGGGGGCACTGTCTATGTTATTGTCTTTCTCAGTGGCATGTTAAGTGAGAATGACTGTACCTCTACAGTTCTGATAAATATGAGTATCGAGAAAAGTTGTAGTAAATAATGTAAGTAAATGATATTGATGGTAGATGAGAAAGTTCCCTGGTGATTTATCATCAATTTTCTATAATGGAAATGCTTTCCTATGTTCTCCAAACAGTGAGAATTATCAGAGTGATTATTTGATTCAGTCTAGCCAAACGAAAGCCCCACTTCCCTTATTTCCTCTTTTTCCTACCAAACAGTGACCAAGTTGCCAACTGAATGAGTCCCTATTATGTTGGGAAATGGAATTGAAAGAAGATAGAATCATGGGGAGAAGTTCAGGCAAATTCTCTTAAAAAGGGTAGAAAGAGGAATATATATTTGGTGCTAATATAAGTGCTTGCAAAAATACTACTTTCTAGATTTCTCCATTTGTATTTGGCTTGAGAAAAAGGGTTGGGAAATGTGGCAGCCAGTTAGATTCAGAGTTAGCCCCTGTGTGCTAGAAGAGGTAACCCTTGTCAAGAGGTAACTATCACCATGTGAGTGGAAAGTTCTCTGGGCTGTGTATGTTCTAAGGTAACTCCATTTCTCATTGCAGAAAAACGCCTGTCTAGGGGCATCTCCCACGCCAGCTCCAGCATTGTTTCCCTGGCCCGATCCCATGTCTCCTCCAATGGTGGGGGTGGGGGGAGCAGTGAGCACCCCCTGGAAATGCCCATCTGTGCCTTCCAGCTTCCAGATCTCACTGTGTACAACGAAGACTTCCGCAGCTTCATAGAGAGAGACCTTATTGAACAGTCCATGTTGGTTGCCTTGGAACAGGCAGGTCAGTGAGTGCTTCTTTTCCCAGGCCCTTCCCTCTGCTTTCCACCTGGAGGCAGCCACGTGGAGGGGCTGGCCTTGACCAATAGCTTCCAGTCTAAGTGTGGGATCTGACTGCAGTCAGAGTCAGGAATCAGTCAGATAAACATGCACCGAGCTAGGTGCTTCTTCTCAGGACACATATTAGACACTTTCCTCTGGAAATTTCCTGTTTGATGGAAGGGAAACCAGATACACACATGAAAGGCCCAGTAATCAATGCCTAAAAATCCAGACATGGGGAGAAAAATACAAACGAATTACAGTTGGCTCTGGAACTCCTTGTGACCAGAAAGACCCAAACTATAGATGATGTACGATGGTGATTAATTTAGAAGTTCCATTTGTTTACATGAACCTTTCCCAAAAGATTTATTTGCCTTTACAATTGTGTTTGTCTTAAATTATTGTTAAAATTAGTTAATATGATGGGTTGGGGCTGCTGGGAATTCTGGGAAAAGCTAGTCAGGTATTAAAAAACTCCCTTGGAAGAAAGACTGGGGCTAGGAAGTAGGGGCATGGGTAAGAAGCTTTCATTTTTCATTCGGTAACTGTGTGCATCTATTTATACTTTTTTAAAAAGTTAGCACGTTATCTGGCTTAGTGACATTATAGGCCAATTTTTCTTTCTGTAGACTTTTCGGTAATTCAGGAAAACTTTTAAGCATGATTCATAAAATATTGTCCTCATATGAATAATGGGTTGGCAATTGTGGATGACTGTACAGGACTGAGACTCATTTTCTTAGGTGTTTCATGCACTTTGCTTGTTGCTCATGTTTTTAAAGTCATACCACATACAAGCTGACAACGCTGACTGTCACGTATGCAGATGATACTTACATGACACTTGGACTACATGCTTTGGTTTTTCTTTTACTGATGTTGGGTTTGTGCTGAGATTCACCGGCACAATATTCCCTGGTCTCCGGCGCAGAGTGAAGGAATCAGAGCCAGAGCGAGTAGCCAACACAGATTTCAACCTGTGACTTTGGCCTCCTCATCTAACGCAGAGTTGCTCAATCTTAGCACTGTTGACCTTTAGGACCAGATAATTCTTTGTTGTTTGAGCTGCCTGGTACATTATATTACGTTTAGCAATCTCCCTGGCATCTACCCACTAGATGCCAGTAGCATCCCCCCTACCAATTGTGACAACCAAAAATATTTCCAGATACTGCCAAATGTCCCTTGGGTATTGATGAGATCAGTGGTCCCCGTGTAACAACTGCTGATCTAACCAATCATGCTCTCCAGCTTCTGATGGACTAGGTGTAAGTGACGAAGGTATAAAGACAAACAGAGATGATTTTATTCTGGGTAGGCTTCCTACCCAAGTTTGGGTGGAGGCAAGTTGGGAGTTGTTTGAGGGCAAGGGGGTGGGAAGGATAATCTGCTCCTCTCCTTTTCCTCCTTTTTCTGTAGGGCGTTTGAACTGGTGGGTGAGTGTGGACCCTACCTGCCAGAGGCTGCTTCCTTTGGCAACTACTGGGGATGGAAACTGCCTTCTCCATGCCGCCTCCCTAGGTGAGTCTTGAAGATGGTGTTCCATACCCTCCAAAAGCAATAGAATTAAATCTCATGTGCAGGACTTGATCCAGCTAACCTTGATCTTAGGCAGAAGTAATGATACAGTGCGTGTGTATGTGCTCGTGTACGCGCTCGTGTGTGTGCACATGCACATGGGCATGCGGGACGGGATGGAGGAGAGCTCTGCCCTGGATTCTCAGCCTTGTTCAGAGGACATATGGAGAAGCCAGGACTTAGCATGGGTCCCGCTCCAAGAGCTGCCCCCCAGAAGTAGTGAGCAGCAAGCATACAAGCGCTATAGAGCTATGTGTGGATATCATTCTACTTAATGCTTACTCTTCTGGTATATAAAAAAGATGTGTTTTCATCGGTTTCTGGGATATTTGCTTACTTTAATTGTACAACTTATTTATAATTCAATGTCTTTTGCCTTAGATCTTTAAAAAGTCTTCATTTTCCAACCATCCCTCCAGCTTTGATGCTGATGGCCATGTGCCAGACCCGTCTTATCTGCTGCTACCCTGTATTTTAGTTTGTTGGACTTACATCAGGAATAAGGGGCTTTCTATCAGGAGTTTGTAGGACGTGGTATATTCCCCCACTGTTAAGTTCTTGAAGTTCCTGAACCTCCAGAGTGGGAACATCTTTTCTTTCATGATTAAGTCGCTCTCCCCTATGTCACAGTGGGTTCTTTGAACCTGGCCTTCAGCCTGATTTCCTTCATGCTAGGGTATGTGCATCATAATTAATAAGTGGTGTGAAGTCATGGTAAAGTGTCCTACTGATATGTTTCCTTGCCATAGGCATGTGGGGTTTCCATGATCGGGACTTGATGTTGCGTAAAGCTTTGTACGCGCTGATGGAGAAAGGAGCTGAGAAGGAAGCATTAAAACGGCGCTGGAGGTGGCAGCAAACACAGCAGAATAAGGAGGTGAAGGAGTTTGGGTGGGAGCACCTTACTCCCCAGAGTTAGCTACACAAAATGCTCTGTGCTTCCCAGTAGGCAGTGTCTTCTGGGGTTTAATCAGTTGGCGCTCCTCTTGTAATCCTGGAAATTATAGAAAATGCAGACGATGCCATAGGGCCGATGCCTGCCTGATACAGTCATGGGAACTAGTGTGGGGAAGCCGAGACCTATAGAGGAGGTAGCTAATGTTGTGCTTCTCATCGGGTAGGTGCCCAGGAAGCCTTCAGTAGCAGTCTTTTGCAAAATAAGATAATGACAAGTCCACAGGATTTTTGTATTGTTTTGGGTTTTTTGGCCTCTAATAAGGCTAGACCAATTTTTAAGGACTTCTGTGTTTTCAATCCTTATAAAAATGTAAATGCTTAAAAATGTTGTTGGCTGTATGTACTATTTGCTTTTCACGTACTCTGTTTGAAAATCTTAAAAACATGCCTGTTAAATTGAGTTTTAATTGTACTTTTCAGGGGTTCAGCAGATGTTGAGACTGCTTTTGTATAAGAAAGTAACAATGGACTGTTTGTATTTTCTGTGTACTTTCCATCCCTATAACAGGGGTTGGGCAAACTATGGCCTATGGGACAAATCCCACCCACGGTTTTATAAAACAAAAAAAAGAAGAAAAATTTATTGGAACACAGCCTGCCCATTCATTTATGTGTGTTTGTTTATGTTAAGTGCTTTCCTCATGTAGACTAGAACAGCAGCAGAATAGAGTAGTTGCATATGGCTCGCAAAGCCTAAAAGATTGACTGGCAGTTATGACAGAACAATGAAAGAGTTTGCCGACCCCTCACTTTAATATAATAATGATTCTGTACATTTCCATAAAGATAACAGGTCTCCCTCTTTCCTTTTCCTCTGGTTTTCTCTGTCTTCTGTGTTTATCTCATGCTCTTTGTGTGTCTTTTTTTTTTTTGCCATTTTTATGGCTGGGTGCTCTGGCCTAAATATGGGATTGTCTTTTCAGAAACTTTCCTTTTTCTTTCCATCTTCTTTCTTGTCACCTTTTATTGCTGTGTCATAACTGGCCATTGTATAGAACTAAGAGGTTTTGTTTTGTTTTTTTTTTTTAGTTATTAGAATTTTATGTCCTGAAGATTGAAATATGTAGGTAGAATATGTCATGTTTCTTTCTTAAAAACAAAGAACCGTCGTTAAAATTAGGATAGTATTAAGATCAGAGTGCTGTCTTTGATCACCCAGTCTTCCCCAGAGGATTCCTGAGGGGAAATAGATGCACAGGGGTGAGGCCAAGTGGACGGCCCTCTTCACTACCACCGAATCCCACGCTCCCTGGTTAGCTGACACGGACCTCGTGGAGAGCTCCTTTGGCCTGAGCCAGAACTGGTCTCCAGTTGGCCTTCTTCACCACTGACTTCACTCCATACCTGAACCTTACATTTGCCTACTCCAGAGTCCAGAAAAGGCCAGACTAGAGCATTTAGCTATTAAGTAAAAGTTCGATACTGAAAATGTGGCCTAGAAAAGTGTTTTAGTTGAGACCATTTAAAGTATTATACAGCATCTTGGACGTGGGAATGGAGGGAGGTGTGAGGGACTGGGGGGTAATCAGGACCAAATACCACACAAACTAAATTGGTTTTGATTTCTCAGGGCTTCTTGTTTTGTGTTGAAATTGGTGTCAACCAATTCAGTGAGGATGGGGTGCCTGACTGGCTCAGTCAGTAGAACATGTGGCTCTTGATCTCGGGGCTGTGAGTTTAGCCCCACGTCGAGTGTAGAGATTGTTTAAATAAATAGACTTAAAAAAAGAAAAAAATCAAACAAACCAGTAAGTACATTCTCAGGCTAGAAGGGTACACCATCTAGTGGCTGTGTGTATAAAAACAGGAAGCTGAAATAGGTGAGAGGAAGACGGAGAGTGACCAGAGCACCCAGTATATATTGCCTGTGCATTGTTCTTTTTATTTTTAATAGAAAACTTTGTTACAGAATTTTACAAACAGAAAATAGCTTTGTCACTTTTTTGTTACTAAGATTAAATGTGCTTATAACAGCTCTTTAATTCTAAAATTTGTTCCTCATGCCCTTCATGTTTCCAGTGTGATTCTTTCTACTCTGTCAATGTGCGTTTAAGCAGTATAAACTCATGTAAATATTAGCGTAAGCCAAATACAATTAACAACACAGACTCATCTCCCAAATTATCATGTATACTCTAAAGCCAAATGATATTTTTAAATTATTTGTATCACTTCTCCCATTCCTTTGCTAAAAATTACAGTTTCATTCAGCATGCATTTCTCGATTACTGATCACATCATAGGCACTAGCATGTTGCCTAAAATGTGCTCCTGGCCCGTAAGAGTAGTAGTAGGAGACCGACATGTAAATACATAATTGCACCAAGGTAACAGGTTATGGTTTCTGTGATGAAGTCTATATAGCAGTTGAGGAGGGAGACCACAAAGGCAGGAGTGGATCTACCCGGAAGATTTAGGAAAGGCTACAGAGAAGAAAATACTTGAATTCTGTCCTGACAGTGGAGAAACTGTTCACCAGGTGGCAGGGAGTAGGCTGCTCCAGACTGAAGGAACAAGCTAGACGAAGGCTCAAGCACAAAGTAACACAGTGCATTCAAGGAATTACAGATAATTAAATGATGCCTTCGAGAGGTGGGTAGGGGCCAGGAAGTGGACTTTGTATGCTGTGCTTATGGAGTTTGAGCTATATCTAGTAGGTAATGATGGTTCTGAAAAGAATTTGTGACAGGACGCAAACATCAGATTTTAATTTTGGAAAAATCTTTCTGTTAGCATTGTAGGAGGTGGATGAGAAGAATGCAGACTAGAGTAGTGATACCATTTAAGGGTCCATCATAGTAGTTCATGCTTTATAATTGTTGACTAAGGAATCCAGGTGTGGAGTGGGTACAAGGAGGGGAGTCTTTGGTACCCTCCCTGGTTTCTAGCTTGGGTGTTTGGCTGTTACTCTGTGCTCTTCACTAAGTCAGGAATACAGGAGGAAGAGTGTGGTGTTGGAAGAGGTAGGAGTTCAGTTTTGACTCCATAGAGTTTGAGATAGTCACGGGCAGGTAGCCATCTTCAGTAGGCAGCTGGATATGAATATAGAAATTAAGACGAAGTCTGGACTGGAGGGGACATTTTAGAGTCCTGAGCATATAGATGGCAGTAGATGAGATTATGGCAGTAGAAGAAATCACCCAGAAGGGAGCAAGGCTGCTGATATTGTTGACACAACACCAATATTGCCAGGGTGGACAGAGTTGAGAGAGACAGGAGAAAGTAGTATTGTGGAAGCTAAAGGAAAAGGAAGTTTAACAAGGAGTTGAAATCTGTGTGAAGGCTGAGAAAGATGAGAACCAAAGAATCCACTGAATTTGGGAATTAGAAGGTCATTATCCTTTGCCAGAGTTGGTTAGGTGAAGTCATGTAAATGGGGTAAGGGGTGTAGGCTGAGGAAAGAAACAGAAGCTAGACCACAATGGGCTGGAAAAGAGTGGAAGAAGAAGAAGTGTGAGAGAGAGCCGAAACTTCTGTGGATCTTGACTAGGAAAGGGAGAAGAGTTGTGACTTTGTAGTACACATTATAAGCCAAGGCCAAGAGAATAGGCAGTGGGACAGTGTGACTGAGTTGAACAGCTACTGCCTTGAGAACCTAGCCTCTAATTGCTTCATCTCTCCTGCCTGTCTTTCACACAGTCAGGGCTGGTTTACACAGAGGATGAGTGGCAGAAGGAATGGAATGAGCTGATCAAGCTTGCCTCGAGTGAACCCCGCATGCATCTAGGTACCAACGGAGCCAACTGTGGTGGGTAAGTATGGCTAAGTGGGGGAGTAGAAAATAATCTTTACTGAGTCCTCAGTGTCCAAAGAACTTGAGGCTAAGAGGATTGTTAGAAGGAAAGAGAGGGGCCATTGAAAGGGCAAAGAAGGGTGTAACAGCATGGTATGTTCTAGGAACTACAAGCAGTTTGGCGTTGCCAGAATACAGAGTATGTAGTATAGAGTGATAGACTAGGCTGGGTAACCACAGTTTCGTGTGCTATGCTGAGGTTTCTGTTGTGCCATGTTAAGGAATTAAAACCATATCCTATCCAGATGTTGAGAAACTTCAGGACAGACAACTCTCTTTCCTCAATAAATACATTGCAAGGAAAATAGAAAGGGAAAGGGAACCTAAGTTTAAAGACACTTAGACAAATCAACTAGTGGGAACCTATGGACATTTATGACAGTTGGGGAAATGTAAACAATGTCTACATGTTTGATTATTGTTAAAATTTTGAAATGTGATATTTATGGTTATGTGGTTGTTTTTAAATGTCTTTTATTTTTTAGAGATAGAAACTGGAAATTTTATGGATGAAATGATATGTCTAGGATTTGATTCAAAATAATCTGGTGGGGTGGGGGTGTGGGTGGGAGTTAACAGGGAAATAGATCAAAGTCTAGGTGAACACAACTTTGACCATGTGTTTTATAATTGTTGAAGCTGGGTGATGGACACATGAAAGTCTAGGTGTAATATTCTTTCTAGTTGTGAATGTTTAAAATTTTGAAATTTTCTGAAACACAAAGTTAAAAATGATAACCTAGCCAAACTTTATTGTGCATAAGAATAATCTGGGAGACTTGTTAAAATGTAGATTTGGGAGGGGCGCCTGGGTGGGTGACTCAGTCGGTTAAGCATCCAACTTTGGCTCAGGTCATGATCTCACGGTTTGTGGGTTCGAGCCCTGCGTCGGGCTCTGTGCTGACAGCTCAGAGCCTGGAACCTGCTTCAGATTCTGTGTCTTCCCCTCCCTCTGTCCCTCCCCTGCTCATGCTGTGTCTCTCTCTGTCTCTCAATAATAAATAAACGTTAAAAAATTTTTTTAAATGCAGATTTGGGGACCTTTACTCTAAGAAGTCCAGTTGAGTTGGACTGAGCTCAGGCCCAGAAATCTGCATCTGTCCCAAGCACCCAGTGTTGAATAACATTGCTTCAGGGGGCAGGAAGCCACTGTATTGTGCGCATGCGAGTGACGGGAGCCAAAGTCGTGTATTTGAACATACTGCCAGCAGAGTGGGTGGAGAAGTGGAGGGCAGTGAGACTGGGTACAGTTGTGGGAACCCAGGAGAGAGGGCCATGGGTGTGACTAAGCAGTGGACTGCAGACAGGCCAGAGGAGGTAGATACAAGAGACACGGAAGAGATGGAATTGGTCAAGCCCGGTGATTAACTGAAGATTAAAGGGTAAATATTTCCCAGATTTCTGATTAGGCTACTAGTAGATGGTGAAGTGAGATACTGTTCTTCACGGAATGGACCTTGGAAGAGGAATTTTTGCTTCTTTTGTTTGTGTAGGACATGATGCATACGGTATGTGGGTGGTTGTAGTGGGTAAAGCGGAACTACACAGCTGTGTACTGAGCTATAGCGTAAAGCGAATTGGGGAAGGCTGTTGAACAAGATTGGTTTTAGCAGAGGGATTACCTCCAGATTCCTAATACAACTTTTAACTTTAGGGCCTTCAGATCTCTTTTCTTGGATTTCCCCATCTCTGAAATGGGATTAGAAATAGCCATGGTAGCATAACATAATCAGGTATGTCAGTGGCAGCCTTAAGATGAGAAAACCAGGAAAGGACATTCCTCTTTTTTGTCTTTGCACAACTGATCTTCAGGGGCGTCTTGTTGTGTTTTCTTCCCTTTCCCCTCCACAATCTCCTCTCCTGTAACTCTAGGGTGGAGAGCTCAGAGGAGCCCGTGTATGAGAGCCTAGAAGAATTCCACGTCTTTGTCCTTGCCCACGTACTTAGGAGGCCCATAGTTGTTGTGGCCGACACCATGCTGAGGGACTCTGGTGGGGAAGGTGAGTCAGTCCTCATGCCCTGAGCACCTTCTGTTTGCAGAGCCTTGGCTGAGCACTGGGAGGAGGGAAGGAAGGGGCTACGTAGACCCCTGGGGAGAAGCAAGGTATACATGAGAACAGTGCAAAACTCTCAAGAGATTAAGAGCAAAGTGGTTGGGATTAATTGATGAGGCTTCTTAGGAAAGAATGATGAACAAGGGGTTAGAATTAATGAAAGGGGGGAACTCACTTGGTAGAGTGGGTGTGGGGATTACCCTGTAGGCAGGAACACATCCTGAATAACAATCTTTGTGGTTTGCTGCAGCATTTGCCCCTATTCCCTTTGGGGGAATCTATCTGCCTTTGGAGGTCCCAGCCAGCCAGTGTCACCGCTCCCCTCTGGTGCTCGCCTATGATCAGGCCCACTTTTCTGCACTTGTGTCCATGGAGCAGAAGGAGACCGCCAAGGAACAAGGTGCTGAATGCAGTGTTAGTGTCTGTGGTGTCTTTTGGTGCTTTCTTCTCACTTGGAGAAACTGAAATGGGAGAGAATGTAGCAGGAAAGAATTAAGTGACACGCAAACCCAGACCACGCACATTGATACGGTTTTACTAAGCTAAAGATAAACCGGGGTTTTTAAATTAAAAATAAATACTGTATATTTATTTATACAGTATCCTGCCTGTATTTACTGCTCCCCATTCTGGAGTAAAGAGTGAATGTATTAAGGACACAGAACCTTCCAAGTGATGCTTTGCTGTATTTGCCTTATTCCTCGAACCCACATTAACTGGCAAGAATATCGTGAGTGTTCCTTGACTGACTGCTGGGGAGTCATGGAGATTAGTGGCCTAAATTGTGTGCTGGCTCGTAAGGGGAAACCAGTCTGTTCATTTTTAATGCCTGGGGATTTCACTTGTGAAACCTGAGAAGCGAGCTCATTAGAGACCTGTGATACAATTCAGCCTCCTTTTTAATGAAGTTCGTTTGTGTTCAGTTGCCTTCCTCTCTCCTCAAGAAGACTCCTTGACGACATGTTTCTTCCTCCCCAGCTGTGATCCCACTCACGGATTCGGAGCATAAGCTGCTGCCCTTGCACTTTGCTGTGGACCCTGGAAAGGGCTGGGAGTGGGGCAGAGATGACAGTGACAACGTCCGATTGGCCAGGTGAGGCAGGCCCACCTGCTAGGTGGCTGCAGTCTCTTCCACAAAAAGCGTCCATTTCCCTGGGAATTTCTCCTCAGCCCACAGGGAAGACAGTTACATCTTGACTCCAATGTTTTGGGGAAGATGGAAAAGTGGGGGACGTGTTGGGCACCAGGAATCTTGCAACATGCAGCTTGCCTTGTCTTCCCACGAAAGAGATGGGAATCGGGATCTCAACTTGGTCTTTCCTTATACTATGAAGGGTGTTCTGCTGTTACACCCCACAGTCTCCCAAACAGTGATCAGAAAATCAAGATTATCAAATCATGGGGTGCCTGGGCAGCTCAGTCGGTTAAGCGTCTGACTTCGGTTCAGGTCATGATCTCGCGGTTTTTGAATTCCAGCACCGCATCGGGATCTGTGCTGACAGCTCAGAGCCTGGAGCCTGCTCCGGATTCTGTGTCTCCCTCTCTCTGCTCCTCCCCCGATCGCACTCTCTCTCTCTCAAAAATAAACATTAAAAAAAAAAAAAATCAAATCACACTTTTTTCCTAGCCCAAGTGAGAGGGTGTTTATTTATTTATTTAAAAAAAAAATTAGGTTATTTATTTTGAGAGAGCGAGAGAGAGAGAGCGTGCCTGCACCTAGGTGTGGGAGGGGCAAGAGAGAGAGAGGGAGAGAGAATTACAAGCAGGCCCTATGCCACGAAGAGCTGGATGCGGGGCTTGATCTCATGAACCATGAGATCATGACCTGAGCTGAAATCAAGAGTCAGATGCTTAACTGACTTAGCCACCCAGGCACCCCTATTTTAAAAAAAATTTTTTTTAAGATTGATTATTTATTTATTTATGAGAGTGAGTGAGTGAGTGAGTGAGTGAGTGAATGGGAGAGGGACACAGAGAGGTAGAGAGAGAAACCCAAGCAGCCTCCTCACTGCCAGTGCAGAGGCTAACTTGGGGCCCAAACCCATGAACCATGAGATCATGACCTGAGCTGAAATCAAGAGTTGGACACTCAGCTGACTCAGCCACCCAGACGCCCCTAAAGATTTTACCCTTTAAGTGATCTCTACACCTAACACAGGGCTCAAACTTACAAGAGTCGCAGGCTGTACTGACTGAGCTAGCCAGGTGCCCCATGAGAGGGGTTTTTAAATAATTGGCCAAAGTGGTTTGCTCTGGATTGTTGCCTTTCTGGAATTTAAATAGCCAGAAAGATTTGTTCTCCCTGCCCGTCACCCTCCCCCAAGCCCTCCAGTGGGTTTAGTCTTCTACCTGAGCCCTCCACAGCTTCCAGGGAACAGTGTATGAATATAAAAGTTCTGCCCTTCCCTCTGACACAGTGTTTCCTTCTTTGGGTTCCCTGACCCTGGGGATCCAATTGAGAGGGTTTGATTTAAAAATTCAGAGTTTATGGCTTTTAAAGTATGTTCTCACCTACCTATCAAAAACTCTCTCTTAATATTTATACTAGCAGCAGTAATAATGGCTACTGTTTAGTATTTCCTGTATTCCAGACATTATCCTGGGTCCTTTCCAAATACTGTTTTAATCTTCATAACAACCCTACAGGGTAGATGTTATCTACACCCATTATCAACCCCAACTGAGTTTTAGGGAGGGTGAAGTGGCTTGCCTCCGGGCCATAGAAACACTAATTGGTGGACCTAGAATTCAAACCCAACCTCATCAGAGTCCCAAGCCATGTAGCCCTCTCCCATCCTATCTCCCAGCTGGCTCATACTGCTTTGCCTTTTAAAGGTCACAGTATGTTTTTAATTCCTTTTCTCCTCCTCACAGTGTAATCCTGTCCCTAGAGGTCAAATTGCACCTGCTGCATGGCTACATGAATGTGAAGTGGATCCCAGTGTCCTCTGATGCACAGGTGAGGACTTCTGCGCCCTCATTTGCAATGAAGGGAAGCCAAGGAGACCTGGTGGTGGTCTCCTTCTGAATCCCTTCCGAATGGTAGCTTGTAATTCAAGGTTAGGAATAACCGGGTAAGTTCCAAAAGACACTTTTTCCTGCCTTTCTATCTGTTAGTGCCCTCTGTTTTCCATAGCTCCTCTCCAGCCAAGCTCTACTTTGTGATACTAAAACACATTCTTCAAGAAAAGTTTCCTAGATACTTTGGTCAACTTGAGATGGTCATTACTTTGTCCCAAGCCTTGTATATATAGACCTCTGTGGTGGTGGGTACAAGAGGAGACAGAATAGCTTAAGAGATCTCGATCCAGGAGGTTCGGAGGCTGTCATCATTATGCATAGAGCAGGAACACAGGAGCAAAGGCAAACTGACGGACTCCAGTGCTGAATGTCTAAAAGTTGGGGGGATGCAGAATGGTCAGACCTGGCTATGGTTAGTCAAGACTTCGTTGAGATTACCTCTGGGCAGAATCTGGTATAGAGAAATTTATAACAAAGGACACACTCTAGTGTCTATGGATATTCTTCCTCCTTACCCAGAGGCCGTGTATTGTGTTAGTTGCTCATTGCTGCAGAAGAGCCTCAGGCTTCACTTTGACATCTCCTTATTACAGGAGGGAGTCAAATTGCGGGGGCGAGGTAAAAGTTAGCTAGTAGACACATCGCTCCCTGGTCCATGGGAGAGCTGACTGGAGCTGAGAAAGGACAGTGCCCTCCTAGGTAACCCCTCGCCTGCCATGACAGCAGTCCTTCTCTGAAAGTAGGCAGGCTCTCCAGGGATGGGGTTTATAGGGGGGTTAGCAGCCCTTTTCCACCTGGCTAATGCCTGTAGCAACGCTGCAGCGAGCCCCATGACCCAGAGGTATGAGCTAGGGTCCCCGGGGACTTCCCTCAACGAGACCAACGGGACAACCATAACACTGCTCTAATTTCCCCTCAGGCTCCTCTGGCCCAACCTGAGTCCCCCACAGCCTCAGCTGGAGATGAGCCCCGGTCCACTCCTGAGTCTGGGGAATCAGACAAAGAGTCCGTCGGCAGCAGTTCCACGAGCAATGAGGGCAGCAAGCGGAAAGAGAAGGCAAAACGAGGTCGAGAGAAAGACAAGAAGAGAGCAGACTCCGTGGCTAACAAACTGGGCAGCTTTGGCAAAACCTTGGGCAGCAAGCTCAAGAAGAACATGGGCGGCCTGATGCACAGCAAGGGTTCTAAGCCCGGAGGGATGGGAGCAGGGGCGGGGGTAAGCAGCGGCACTGAGACACTGGAGAAGAAGAAGAAGAACTCCCTGAAGAGCTGGAAGGGGGGCAAGGAGGAGGCAGCTGGGGACGGGCCTGTGTCTGAGAAGCCCACGGCGGAGTCTGTCGGTAGCGGAGGGAGCAAGTATAGCCAGGAGGTGATGCAAAGCCTGAGCATCATGAGGATTGCAATGCAAGGGGAGGGGAAGTTTATTTTTGTTGGAACCCTGAAGATGGGTCACCGCCATCAGTATCAGGAGGAAATGATCCAGCGCTACCTTTCTGATGCTGAAGAGCGATTCCTGGCAGAGCAGAAGCAGAAGGAAGCAGAGAGGAAGCTCCTGAATGGAGGGCTAGGCGGCGGGCCTCCTCCAGCCAAAAAGCCAGAGCCAGATGGTGGGGAGGAGTTGCTGACTGCCCCTCCAGCAGAGTCCAAGGCGATGGCATTCTCTGCTGGCTACCCCGGGGGCTTTACTGTCCCTCGGTCTACAGGGGCTGGGGTCCACTGCCAGGAGCCCCGACGGCAGCTGGCAGGGGGGCCTTGTGGGGGAGGCCTACCACCATATGCCACCTTCCCCAGACAGTGCCCTCCAGGGCGACCCTACCCCCATCAGGACTGCATCCCTTCTCTGGAGCCAGGCAGTCACTCCAAGGATGGCGGTCACAGGGGTGCGTTGTTACCACTCCCCTTCCGCGTGGCTGATTCCTATAGCAACGGCTACAGAGAGCCCCCTGAGCCAGATGGATGGGCTGGAGGTCCCCGGGGGCTTCCTCCGGCCCAGACCAAATGCAAACAACCGAACTGCAGCTTCTATGGACACCCGGAGACCAACAACTTCTGCTCCTGCTGTTACAGGGAAGAACTGAGGAGGAGGGAGCGGGAACCCAGTGGGGAGCTGCTGGTGCACAGGTTCTGAGTGGGGGAACCTTGGAGGGCAAGGGGGCTAAACAAAGAGAGTTAAGCTCCACTAATTGGCTCATCAAGACCCAGCCCCCATGCAAATGGGGCAAATGCAGTGTTGGTGGGAGCCTGGCTGGAAACTTTGAAGTGGGTGCTCGCTGGAGAGCAGCCAGGCTGGCAAGAGCAGGGCAGGGCCAGACGGTGCCTGGAGGGCTCCACTGGTCCTTTGCCAATCTTGATGGGACTGAGGAAGTATGGGGTGGGGTGGGGAGATGCTGATTCTGTCTCATAACTGCTTGGGTACACCCCAGGACCTAAGGGAAAGAGGGGAAGGTTTAGTGTGTGGGAGTGGGGAGGTGGGCAGAAGTGGGGGGGGGGAGCAGGCAAAGGAGGTTCTCAGTCAATAAAAGAAAAAACAGACCAAAGTCCTTGTAGGTTGGAAAAAAGCACATGACGGTGGAGTTGGGAGTGTGGAGGGAAACTGGGAAATTAGATAAATTTGCTATTGGTTTGAATTAAGGTAGGAATTAGGGTTGGATAAATTCTTCCTCCTGAAGGATCTGGAAAGACTAGGCAGTAATGTGTGCTCACAGGTGCTTATTAGGAGGGGGTTAGTTGAAATTGGTTTGTTGAGATGGGAAAGGGAAGAACTTAAAAGGGGAATCCTTTTCCTCTCGAGTTTTATTTCCTTCTAAACAGTCTTGCTGATCGCCCTCTATCTTTTCCTCATCCTTTTTGAGGGCTGAGCCTCAGCTAAGTTAAGATTGTGATTTTTTTTTTAAACGACTTTAATTTTATTTAAATACAAAAAGTTCCCTCTGGGGAAGGGAGGAGTGACAAGAAGAGCAGCTGTGTGGGCTGAATCTTCTCCAGGCAGCGGGTGCACAGGTGATCCTTTTGTAACTACTTAGCAATAACCACACAGCGAGGTTTGAGTGCACCCCGGGAAGGGTGGGAGCAGGACAGACCTCTGGCCGGACTGTTTTAAACAAAACCAAAAACCTAAATAGAACACTACCATCCTCTGCTGCTGCATTTCTGTAGAAAGCAACTTATTTTGACTTTTTTGTTTTTAAGGAAAAGAAAAAGACCCCAGTGAACAAAAACGTTTTAAAAAAGTGGTTGTTTTTGTTTTTGTTTTTTCCTATTTAAGTGATTCTTTCTCCTTCCTCTCTACTTTTGGAGAATGAACTTAACATCCCGGCTTCTTTTGTTAAGCCATAGCTGACCTTAATCTGTGGTTAGTTTATTAAAATAATTAAAAAAATACTTTGTAAGAAGACATATTTTTGATAATAGGATTGATGTTAAAACGCGGGGGTAGGGGTTAGGGGCAATTTATAAAAAAGGTAGTTAGAGAAATATATTTTAGTGAACTGTAACCACAGATCACAGATTCCTCCCAATGAGCTGATATGTTCTTTGGGTTTTCCCCCTTCCCCTGACTCAACCCTTTTCCCCAGGGGGTGGAGTGGGCCTATGGACACAGAAGGGGAAGCCCCTTTGCGTTTTGCACAAAGCACAAATCTGGCCAGCCTTCACTCTGGCCAGCACCATTTCTAAGAGCTTTAAACTGGAGAACCTATCCTGGGCCAATTTTCCTTTTTCTTTCTTTTTTTTTTTTTTTCTGGGGGAAAAAATCAACTATGCAATTGTATACACTCCTGGGTGCATACGAAGAAGGGGAATAAGTGTACTTAAGTGTCCAGAGTGTTAATTGGGGCTATTTTTCTGTACGTGGATTTCTCTTTTGAGATATGTACTCCTAACCCATCTCATGGACTGTAATCCCCACATTTGCTCTAAACCGGACGAGGGCTGGATGTGTGTGTTGGAGACCTGTAATTGCCATATGTTGCTTCTGCCCCATCAGGAAAGTTGTCATCCCACCATACCCCTTGGTAACAAAGCCCATCAAGACCATCCTCTTCATTGGAACTGCTCACAATTTAGCAAGGTTACTCTCTCCTCAGCAAACTTGAAGGTCACTTATTTTTTAAATCTGATGTCTGTTGATTTAATAATTTCCTATAGCTATTAATACTTAGGCTTTTATTTGAAAATAGGATGGTTTTAAAGAAGCAATGAGGTCAAAGGAGATAGGTTCCAAAGGAGGGGATGTATATATTTCTGGGCAGGGCTGGGACTAGTAGGAGATGAGCGCTTCCCTTGGGTACGAAATGTAAGGGGTATTGAAAAACTCAGTAATTAAGACGAATACTGTTTTAACACAGTGTTTCAAAAATAATGCAAAAATATCCATAATGAATAAAATACCAAAATCTTGAAGACAGAATCCAACGGGACTGAGATTAGGTTGAGGGAAATAAGCTGAATTGAGCAGGTTGAATCCTATCTTTAAAATTTTGATACTTAGTGGATTTGATACTGTGGATTTTTTACGTTGGTCTTGATTTTCAAAAAATACTGCACTAAGATAGTAGGTTGGTTTATTGAGTTTTGGGGCACCCTTTAAATTCTGTGCCCAAAGTGAGTGCCTTGCTCACCTCACTCCGTCTCTGGGGTTAGAACAACACTGGTGAGACTACCACCTTGTGAAACACTGTCCCCTGAGGGCACCCGAACAACAGGTGGCTCCAGCTCACACCTTGCACACTCACCCTGCTTTCCCATAGGTGCCGTCTACCGCATAGGATTCTGGCCTGGATCAATAAAAGTGGAAACAGACCAGGGGTTTTCCCAGAGAATAAAACCAGGAAAGTTTTGATTCTCCACTGGACTGCTGTGTTTGGGTTTGATTTGTTATTAGATTCTAGTTAATACGTTTGTTTTTAAAAACTGAGGACAAATGAACAAAAACAGAAACTTTGTGTCATGTTTGTTTTTGTTTTGATTTATAAACTAACCAATCTCAATTCCTTTTGGCCTCTTTTCAAATAAAAACCGTGGAAATTCTGGGGGTGGCCTAGGGGTGAGTATGGTAAAACAGGGCTTTATTTAGGCCCTATGGCTTTTTATTCAGAAATAAATTATTTTTGTTTAATTTGGGAAGGTAACTATTTATTGAGGCATTAAAAAAAATTCTCCATTCTAAGGATGAGGGACCCTGAGTCCATGGATGTTTTTCTATAGGGATGAGTAGACTGTTTTTGCTTTATTCTTTGAGGGGGTTGTGTGGGATGGAGGGTGAAGGAATAATGCCTGGGGAATGAAAACAGACTCTGGTTGGTTTGTGGTATTTTGGGAAGATGAGGGGGTGGGGGAGAGGTAGGCCCATGCAATTACTGTGCTCAGGAGAAGGGAGGAGAGGGGTCTGTGATGTTGGCCCAAAATGAGCAAGAATTCCTTGGTTAAGGAAGGGTACGTGGGTGAAGGGGGAGGCAGATCCCGTAACCCTCGCTGAGGGATGGTATCTCTCAGGCTTAAATAAGTGCACTTAGTTCCTTTAATCCAGGGCACGGGGGGTGTCTACTGAGGTTTTTATTGGAGAAGGGAAATACTTAGGGTTATTTTTCCCCTTTGAAGACAGCGCTACCCCTCCACCCTACGTTCTCCACCCCAGCCCTGATGCAGCAAGTATACTATAGGATAGGCCTCCAGATTCCTACCTTAACCTGTGCTCATTTTGTTGAGAGTTAAAAAATTTAATCAAAAGTTTTTCCCTCATACAGGATTCTATCAACAAAATAAAAACATTATATAAAAACATTTTTTTAAAGATTCAATCTCTTCATGGAGTGGGGATGGTGTTAAACTCGGTGCTGTACAGAGCCCTCTCCTGTTGGCTCAGTTTCTTAAGAGAAACTAAAGCTCACAGACCAATAAAACAAAAATCAGCCATGACTTCGTATTATGCACTTGGGAGGTGACACCTAGGCAGGAAAAATGGAGCTGGTTCTGAATGATCTCTGAGAACCTAGCTTTTGCCATTCTTGCTCCTTTCTAAACAACCACACATCTAAGGTTCGTCCCATTTCATCTTTCCCATTAGAGATTCTAAGATGATTGTCCCTGCGTTCCTTGGACACCAGTTACTCTGGACTTTGTGTCCTCTTCTTTCTCCAAGCAGTCAGTGCCCCAGACACACGTGAGAAGACAATTAGAAGCCCCTTCCTGGCCTGCAGAATCACCTGCACCCCAGATTTTTCCAATTTCTTCCCCCTCTCCCCCCAAGGCCCTTCAACTGCAGATTCAGTGACTTGTCCAGGCACTCTTGTCGCTCTCACTTTGTGGATACCCAGCCTGCAAATCGCAGGGTGTTTTGCCCCTGTACTTAAGTTGAGTAATGAAATACTTCTTATGACGTAGTCCCTCACGTAGACTTTCTCCAAGCCACCGCCCTTCCCTGGCTACGTGGGTAAGGGGCGGTGGAAAAGGGGAACGGAAGCCGGCTGACGCTGGCCGAGGGTAACGTGCAGAGCGGTGGGGGGTGGGGAGGACCTTGGCCTCTTTCTGTGCTTATAACTGGATCTGTGACTCATCTTGTGAGTCACTCAGCTCCACCTCCCTCCTCCAGCTGCCCCTCCCAGCAGCCTTCTCTCTTGGCACAAACCTGCAGCTAGACCAGGATTCTGAAAATGGAAAAATCTGATACAGCCCCTTGCTTCTACATCCTTCCTTCCATCCACTAAAATCTCCACTAGTGTGTGGGGTACCGAGAGATGGTCCTCCTAGGACTTCGCCCTCAGCTGCCGCCCCTTTGCATTCCTTGCGCTGATCCAAGTCACCCACTTTTTTCTGCCTTCCACCTCCTCCCATTCCCTTGATATTTTCCCTCTGCATTCCTCTGCTGCTGCTATACCTCAAAATATTAAAGAATAGAATGAGGCTCTTGAATGCAGGGTGGTGGGGAGAAGGAAAGTGGATAATGGGATTTAAAAATTGTGGTTACACAGCTCTTCCTACTGCAAGAGACCTTGGGAAGGATTTTTTCCCCCAAGAGATTGAGGCGCATGGAAAGTAGGTGGGGTTGGGGGTGCTTGGTAGCTTTTAGGACTTCTAGAATAAGGCTTCTGGGCCACCTTCCTAGCAGGTGTATGCCTCTTTGTTCCAAATTAACTTCCTGTCTTATAATATCCTCACTATTTCCATAGTAGCAGCCAAGACAGGGAACTTTTACAGCCAAGGCCGGGTGTGTGTGCTGAGGGGAGGAGAGTTGAGTGTCACTTTGGAAAACTGGGACCCCCACCTAAGGACTGCTCCCTCTGTACAGACTCAAAATCAATAAAATAGCAGCTCATTAACCCCTACTTTGTATTTCATTTCCTGTCTTTTTCACATCTAAATGCAGGTTTTTGCTTCCGACCCAGGCACCATCAGCTGCAGTTCCTTTATTTCCCTCCTAGGGTCCTCCCCACCCATCTCTGCCTCTCTAGTTACAGGGGGTAAGGGGGGGGGGGGTCTGTTGAACTGATAGAGGTTTTCAGCCCTCAACTTTCAAGGTTCTAAACATGAATCATTAATTTGGAGATCTGGTGTCTGGGTTGCAGGGAGGGGTCATGTACCTAGAATGGGCTCTGGTTTCCCACTGGTGTGTGTGTGTGTGTGTGGGGGGGGGGGGTAAGATCTTTTCCTTGGGCCTGCCCCAAACCCAGAACTTGCACGTGAACACACCTGTACTTGTGTCCGCATCCTGGAGAGATTTCAAGTTCTCTCCCCAATATTCTCACTGCACCCTCCACATGAGGTATGTTTAATGCTCTCTGGAGAAGAATATACAAAATGCTTTAACTCAACTCCCTCATTTCTTGGACCCCCCCAGGCAAAACTCCCCTGAGGTCCGATTTCCTACTACTTTTGCCAGGTGTGAGGCAGTAAAGAGGCCCGAACTGCTTTTGCATTCCTCCCACCTCTCCACTCCCTTTAAGAAGACAAAAAAATTAAGCCCAAATTATCCCAGGTTAATATTCAGCATTACTGCTCCCCTCAAATAGTTTCCAATGCTCGTGAACAGAAAGCATAAGATTTGGGACTGGGGTAATGAATCTTGGCATTTTTTTCCCCAGTCACCCAGTTTTTCCTCACCTTTTCCAGGCTCCTCCACTTTCTCTCCACTTTTCCAAAATTGTGTGTATTCCCCTTTAAGGGGCTGGGCATCTCTCCCGCCCTCTCCAGAGTCGACTGAAGTTTCCGAGGAGCCTCCTCTGGCTGGGTTGGACACACCTTTCAAGAGACCCCTAATCGAGCTCCAAGCACCACAACCGCTCCTTACCCTAGTGCTGTCCCCCTGCCCCTCTCCCTCACCTACCTCTTCTCAACTACAAGATTCAGCCTCTCCCCAAAGGGCTTGAGCATCCTAAAGGTTTCCCACCCTTCACGGCTCCGTCCCCGGATGGAGCCAGAGAAATGTGGTGGGGGGGCCGGGGCCAGAGTTTCAACATCGCCCCCCAGAAGGAGGAGCCAGAGATGGGGGTAAGGAGAGGAAACTTGGGCTTGGGAGGGAAGGGGACCGTGGGCAGGAGGGGGTGAATGAGGAGGATTGGGAGATAAAAGAGGGGTAAGAAAAAGATCTAGAGGAGGATGGTGTGGTCCCATATCAACTTCGGTTGATGGAACTTGGTCTGTCTTTTTCACAGTCTCAAGTTCATCGTCTCATTACCCATTAACCAGCCCCTCCCTTTACTGTCTGCCAACTGGGTCCTAAACTCCCTGGCAGCCACTGATCTCAGTTTCCCCTGAGAGCCTGAGTGTAGGCCTCCAATGGTGGCTGCTGAGGTAATCCCAGGTCCCAGAATTGGAGAGGCCTGGGGATTAACCCTACACCCTTTGCAGCACTCTGGACCAAAGTTTGTCCAGAGGACTGGGATGCTGGAGCCCAGGAGTCGGCAGCTTGACGGTCACGTGGCCTCTGGATGCCTCCCAGGTAGTAGCTTCCCTTTCAATACTTCCAACCTGCAAAGACTCTTCCAAATTCCACCCTGCTCAAATCTTGCTTCAAACTTCACCAAAGATACCTCTGTATTCTTCCACCCAAAGTGCTTCTGCCTCAGGCTGGCTCTCTTCCCTGTCCAGAGCTGACTGGGAACATGGATCTTGATGGTCCCTGTTTTCTGGACTCTGTTACTCTTTTTCTCATTTACTTATCCAATAAGTATTTGAGTGCCTACTATGTATAAAAGAATACAAATGATTCCCTCCTAAGCTTTCTTTCTAGTGGGGTTAGGGGAGGATCTTAATCTTCCCTCTTTGGATCCTCCTGTCTCAGAAGAGTCGGTGTATACCAGTGTGGGCAACACTGGGAATAGTCATAACCTAGCTTTCCTTCTTCCCCTGTAGGGGAGCAGATCCTAGCATGGGCCCCAGGGGTGAGGAAGGGGCTGGAACCTGAATTGCCTGGAACTCTGATCTGCACCAACTTGAGGGTCACCTTCCAGCCCTGTGGATGGCAGCGGAGTCAGGTGAGATGGACAGGGCAATGGAAAGGACAGTTAGTGAGAAATGGACTGGGGGGTCTAGAAGGATTTAGACAAGTGAGACAGGGAGAATTATGCTTAAGGGCTGTCTTTTGAATGTATCAGGGATGGTCAGTTGGGATTATCTCTTGGGAGGTTGGGGGTTGCCAGGGTAGGACAATGAGCAAGATTTCAGGTGTCTTCGGCATCAGTCGTGTGCTTCCTCTAGGAGACTCCCCTGAGCAGCGAATATGATTTTGCCCTGGTCAACATTGGGCGATTAGAGGCTGGTAAGTGGGTGGTGGGGTGTTTGTGAAGGGGCTCACTGGGGGCTCACCCTTTCTCAATTCTCCGAGGGCAACAGGGATGGAGTGGGATGGGCCGGAAGACTTCCTTGTAGAGGGACTCTGACCAATGGCTACACTGCTTTCTAACTCTTGACTTCAGTGAGTGGCCTGTCCAGAGTCCAGCTCCTCCGTCCAGGGTCCCCACTTAAATTTATCCCTGAGGAGATTCTCATTCATGGCCGAGACTTCCGGCTGCTCAGAGTTGCTTTTGAGGCTGGAGGACTAGAGCCTCAAGCCTTTCAGGTAAGAGACCTTCAACCCAAAGACTCCTCTTCAGAGCCTTGGGGATCCTTTCCCTGGTATTCCCACTACTGCCCTATCTTTTACAACCCCTCTCATCATTCTGTCTGCTTCTCCTCAAGGAGAGGCTAAAAGCACAAGAGTAAGGGGCCTGAATTCTAGCCCTGGGGTTGCCAATTATCAGTAGTGTGACAGTGGGCAAGTTTCTTCCTTTGAAAAACAGGGAGGGCTGGATGAGACTGTTCCTGAGATTCTTCCCAGAATTCACATTCTGTGGTTCCGTGATTCTGGATGTGTTCTCCTGAACCCAGGCCCCATGACCTGTGGAAGCTCCCTTCCTCAGCGACTGTCTTTGCTGTTGTCCTGTGTCTCTACTGGTGGCAAAGACGGTTGAACAACACATGGGCCCCACTTCATCCTCTACACTTTTTCAGTCTGAGCCAGAAGGCTGTGATGTCCTTTCTTCCACAGGTAACCATGGCCATTGTCCAAGCCAGAGCTCAGAATAGTCAAGTTCAACAGTATGCAGGGATACCCCTGAGCAAGGCTGGTGAGTGAGGGTGCTTTAGGGTAGGGAAAAGGTAAAGAATCTGAGAGAGCAGAGGCTGGCTGTAGACAAAAGAGCTGAGAAGCTCTCTCTGGTTCCTCTTCCTTTTTTTCTGTGCCTCACTCCTGTCCTAGGCCAGAGTTCAGGGTCCAGAAAACCACCTGTTCCCCTCTTGGAGACATC